ATGTTCCAAATGTCCAACTTTTCCAAACTGCCATACCACTCCATCATCTCTAACATCAACTCCTCTTCCCCACCCCCCAAGAACTTTCCCTCTCACTTCAGGGTTCTGTTCTGGATACCTAGTGCCACTCTGGCAAGAATATACTACAAATGGGATGGCTTAAACAAACAGGAGTTTATTCTCTTACAGTTCAGGAGGCTAGAAGTCCAAGTTCAAAGTGACAGGCTTTAGGGGCTGTATGATAGCCCCTCCACCTTGGGCTTCAGCTCTGCCTCTTGCTCCCAGCCCACTGAAACTAGAGGCATCTCTTCACTTGGGCAGCTACTAGCTGCTGAGGCTAACAGGCCCAAGATCAACAAATAAAATGGCACAGTCCTGATGTTACCAAACCACATGGTAGGGCATTAACTCAAGTCCATTGTAAATCCCAAGGTCAGCAGAGCATGGCAGGCTGCTGCACAACAACAAGGCTACATGCAGGATTCAAGTGTGCCATAAACTGAGACCATTCCCAAAACTGCTGCTTATATGTGGGAGGCAGACCACACACCTGAAGGCAGCTACTCAGCTGCTCATAGTAGATTCCACCATGAAGTTGATTACTGGTCTCATAATGGGGAATACTACATCCAGCTACCTAGCCACTCAACCAGGCCTAGCCAAGTTGACCCAAAAACATAACCACCACAGGTTACATATTTCTCTGCAACATTTCACAGAACTCACAAACTGCCATGGAAATGGCTCATATGTTGGTAGAGCCTGGCAAGTGCCAAATTCTTGGGTCATAAGTCTCCTCACTCATGTGGTTGCAGGGGCCGATGAACCCAAAAGTGCAGGTCAGACAACTGGTTGCTGTTTCAACTCTGGGGATGAGGTTGTTGAACCAAGTGCAGGGTTCAGAGCAAGGAAGTGAACTACCACAGAGGTGGCTTGAGTCATACCCTCCAACAAGCCAGGACTCAAGATGTAACCTACCCTAAACCTGCCTCATCAATGTAACAGGCAACTCACCCCAAAATGGGACCATGACTACAGGCATAGAGGCTAGATTTTACAATAATGGAGGGTTATGGCTACAACTGGTAGCGTAGTGGCTAAGGCACTTGACTGCTAACCAGAAGGCTGGTGGTTCAAACCCACTAGCCACTCCTCGGAAGGAAGGTTGGGCAATCCTACTTCCGTAGTGATACTGCCTCGGAAACCCAAGGAGGGGTAGCTATGAGTCAGGGCTGACTCGACGGCACATAACAACAACAACAACATGGCTACAACAGCCATATTAAGCAATTCACTGCACTGCAAGCCACCTCTTGGCTCTTCTAGCCATTGGCCTTTTTATATTTGAAGGATTAACTGCCCTTCCCAATCGTTTTACCACTCTCAAATAGTCATTAACTATTAGTCGTCCTTCAGTAGGGCAAAGAGTTCTAAGGGTGAGGTTACTGAGATACAAGCCATTCATGTCTGCTGCAGACCTGGTCAGTTACTCCAAAAGTTTGTCAGATCTTCATCCTTTCTGGCCTCTGATAAAATTTAACTGAGAGATTTTTCCCTTGCTCTGAGTTTCTCTTTAGATATCAGCATAATGTTAGATTTCCCCCATTACATAATCCATTTATCTTTACCTTCAGCAATTATTTCTTATAACTTCCATTTGTCATTTATTTTTACCCAAAATTGTCCACTTTGGAAAGAGACAT